GCGCATAGAATCCGGTTGTCCTCTCGGCAAAGTTCATGAGGACTCCATAGCACTGAGCCATCGTAATCATTAGTATCCTGACCAATGCATATTCCCTTCCCCCATCCTCCGCCCTAGGGTGTGCAGTGCTGCTGCCTATCAAAAGATCAACCGAATGTATCTGCGACGTAACACATGCCTAAATCTGTTACTGGAAAAGCTCTCATTTGCGGCAGGCACGGGGCATCCATTTTAATTAAGGACAGCGGCTTTGCCATCAATTATTTATCACCGACAGAAAACAATAAACGCTCTGGTTCCAACCGGAGACAAAGGAAGCAGCGTTGCACGCTCGTCCTGTGAGTCTGCACAGATCTGACACCCAGGCAAAACCAGCCGTATAGACACCTCAACCGGTGCTGTAAACAAGCCCAGGGCGGGCAAAGCACCATGCCATAGCTGCTCATTCTTTACTCCAGACTGACAGACGTGCTTAAGAAAGGCCTATTTGGGCACGGTGACATCACTAGCACAGGACTGCACCTCCAGTCGGCAACCCCTGTCCAAACCCTACTGGATACGGCTACAGTGCAAGTTAACCCCCTGTCACTGGCCCAGGCAACTAACGGGGGCTCCCAGGACTGCAGGGCTGTAACACTGCAGTGTCCATGTCTCAGCACGGGCTGGAGCTGAGCTCCAGGATCCCCCAATGGGACAGGGGTTCAAAGCCCCAAGCAGAACTTTTACGAGGCAATTTTACAGTTCCGCAGCCGGAGAGCCATGAGCCTGGATTGGCTGACCCAGGCCAACCCCTGTTATTTCATTGCTGTGTACACATATCCTCTGAGACTGATATGATATGATTTAATAGAGGTCTATAAAATCACAAGTATGGAGAAAGTGAAGAAGGAAAAGATATTTACTTGTTCCCATAACATAAGAACTAGGGGGTCACCAAATGAAGTTAACAAACAACAGGAAGTTTTTCTTCACTCAGCGCAGTCAACCTGTGGAACTCCTTGCCAAAGGATGTTGTGAAGACCAGGACTTTAACAGGGTTCCAAAAAAGAACTAGATACATTCATGGAGGTGAGGTCCATCGATACGTATTAGCCAGGGTGGGTAGGAATGGTGTTCTTAGCCTCTGTTTGTCAGGGGTTGGAAATGGATGACAGGGGACAGATCATTTGATGGTTCTTTGTTCTGTTCACTCCCTCTGGGGCCCCTGGCATTGGCCACTGTCAGCAGACAGGCTACTAGGCTAGATGGCTCTTTGGTCTGACCCAGTAGGACTGTTCTCATGTTCACTGCTTGCTGAGCTGGAGCAAGAGCTGAGAAGCGGGCCTCGGGTGTGGGAGGTAGTATGATGTCTCGCACTGGTTTGTGGATCAGAATGACGTCACTGTCACCTTGTGCTCAACCCAGCTCTTGGTTGTTGCCCATGTATCTGGGTAAAGGTTGCAGACAGCTAGAGAACAGATTGTAAATGCTTTGGGGCAGGGACCAATTCTTTGCTGTCTATACGGACAGTGTCTCACACAGAGACAGGGGCTTCCAGATGCAATCCCAAGACGAAGTAAACATAGTAGCAGCTCCCTGAGAAACACATTGCAATAATCTGGTTTAGGAGTCTCCGAGACATGGCTTACTATGGCAAGATCTGGAGCTGAGAGGGAAAGCTGTAAATGCCTCGCCAGACCCAGCTAAGATAAGTGATTTCAGGAGCAGAAACGGATCTTGGATAGTGTTCCCTGTAAGCTGTGCAGTTGAGTGGCCATCCGGGAGAGATTCCAATGCTGCCCAGCCAATTAGTAGCGCGCCCACAGCTGCCCGCAGCCAGTGTTTCTATTGGTGGTCCACATCCGCACATGCCTTGGTGCATAGAACAAAATTTATTCCACACATGAATTGAAAAAAATTAGGGGGAACATTGGTCTGGGAGCACTCCCAAATCATAACCATCTTGGAAAGATTGCACGGCCCAGACTGCAATGTGAGACTACCCCACACCATTCAGAAGCACCAGCTAGTACAGAGAGATGCCTCTTGTTAAGCGTGGAAAGCTGATGTGGACTTTCCATGCTCTGTACTGACTTCTTTTTGGCTCCTGGGTGCTATCCAGATCATTGGGTATTTATAACATTTTCTGTGGGACTCATCTATCTCTGAGCTCCTAAGACAACTGTGATCAGCTGGAACATACTGTCTGTCCCCAAACTTAAACATTGGCCAGCAAGCAGCAGAGGCCCTGCTGTCTGCCAAGTCCGGAGCCTGAAGATGCTGATCAAGACATTAGGCAAGATCAGTTGGTTCATTCTAACGTTTTCTTCTGGCTCCTTACTTCCTTTTCTTCTGCCCTCAAATTGTGCCAGGAGCTGCAATTGTCAGACCCATCAATTTCAATGGGCATCACTTTTCTATATCTGCAAGGCAGCTACAGTCTCTGCCGGTCAAGTGAGTTATTCCCGTTTTTGCTCAGAAGGGGACATTTTATTCCTGGTTGTGAACGGCAGGAAGAGGGTTAGAAGCACTTCTTGACTAGAGGCTGTATTAATTAACCCTGATTGTTGTTTCCTGGGTACTTTCACGGGAGCTTAACGGGATAGGTGCATAAAGACATTTTTCATAAACAACTCTCCAACCTCCTTTTTGGAATGGCTTGGGGAAAGGAATCAAAATGTTCAGGCTCCATATTTTAAAAAATGACTTTTATTGTGAAACATGCTGTGGCGGTGCAGCGGGGTCCCCCGCCTTCTGCACCCCCGTAATGGTACGAACGGACTCCAGCAGCCAGTGGAATAGAGGGAGTTTATTGCTTTTCCAGGATACAGCACAGATGTAATCCGGTCACAGGGCAGGTCTAGGATGCTTCAGCCCCCCTTGAGATGGGGGAGACTGGGCCCCTAAATCCCAGCCCGTTGCTTAGGCTGCTTCCTCCATGATACCAGACAGAAACTAAAAATGTCCCTTCCAGCCCTGCCCCCCAGCCCGGGCTGGCCTCCCCTCCTCCCTTTGTTTCTCTCCCTGGGAGGTAACCGGTCGAACAGGTTACCTCCCTGTCCCGTCAGCTACTCTGCTGGGCCGGTGTACAGACAGCAGCCAGTGAGGGTCACCCACAGCCCCAGCCTAGCAACCAGCAAGGTACCCACACTACATCACACATGCGGGGTTCAGTCCTGAAGTATTATTCTCTGCCTTCCCCAGGCACAGGAGGTTAGGACTGGGCCTCAGTTCACCTTGCCTGGCTAAGGACTTGTCTTTACAATTGGGCCCTAAACATTTTGGGGCAAGATCCACAGCTGATGTAAATCGGCTCCTTTGTTTTGTCTTGAACTAGGCTGATTGCCACAGCTGAGCATCTGCTCCTTTACAAAACAAAAATGCAACTGCAATTAAGTGTAAAGGCAGGATCTAGCGTATGCGACATAGAATTACACAAGCACTTGAGAGATCAGCACTGGTTCAGGTTTGGTCTGTGTTCCCACATCGCCAGCATTTAACCTGAGTGCAGGCTGTGTCTACACTACGGAGTTTTTTTCCGGGATACCAGAGATATCCCAGAAAAACTGCCGCGTCTCAATGAAATCTGAGTTCAGCCCGGTGGATTCAATCCGAGTTGATCTCATGTATGGCAGGATACAATTGGGCCCATAGTGCTAACAAAAGCATTTTGTTTACCTTGGAGGGAGTTGTGTGGGTGGGTGTTTTTTTTGTTTGTTTTTTTTTACGCTGGGTGATGTGGGAGTTGAATAGTGTTTGTTAACAGACTGTTTCAATATGTTTCACATCTTTTCTTGTTGTGGTCATTAGAACTTTTAACTGTATTATAAATCTTTTATTAACACTTGATATTATACTAATTAAAACTGTTGTGTATGTATTATTAATTTCTCCAGTACTTCTTGCGAGGGTGACATTTTTAGCTGGCTTAGCAGAATGTCCCACAGTAAATAAGGAGAAACTCATTTCCAAGCAATTAGGCTTACAGAAAAATAAGTTCTTAATGGAGGCCATGATGATTACAAATTTTACCTAAATAAACAGGGTTTCTTAATGGTAACTCTTCAAGCTAAGTAAACAGATTGGTGTGGTAATGTCCTAAGCAATACTTAAATGTAACTGCTTAATAAATTGGTAAATTACTCATTTCATCTTAGAACAAAATGGTAATACTGTAGCAATAACCTAGTATATATTCTGTAAATATGAAGCATTATCACTTTAGCTCTGAAGAAATCACCACAGTGATATGTCAGCATTGATCTAAAACTGCAGCATTTTATCTCAAGTTTATTACCCATTTTTGAGAATCGCTGAGATTTTCAGAGCATAATGGCAATAAAAGAAGAATTTAAAAAGCGCTTAAATGTGCATAAGTTAATCAGAGGTATCCTCGGGGGGAAAAGGAAATTTGGTAAAACATGAATTATAAGCATCATTTAAACTTACTTTGGACACTAGAGATAATAAATGGCACCATAATTTAGAAATAGCTTTTAACATCAATGACTGTAAGTAGCACTTTACTGTTCATAAGAATTGCAAAGCAATGGTGCTGGGGCCAATTTTATTAGCCATTTTTTTCTTTATAAAAGCAATCCACCCATTTCCAAACTGAGCAGACAGGAACAAGAGTTACGTGTTAATATGCAAAATGCATTTTAGGTTGGTGAGGGTTTTTTTTTTTTCAAATAGCAAAGCTATAAATTCACTGAAAGATGCAGTCCAGAGGCAATTGAATGATCATTTCAAAAGAATAAAGCTTTTTCAGAGTTTACCTATTTGGGAAAAGTAGAAGGTGGGTGATGGGAAAAGCAAATTGTTTGTACATTTCCTATTTGCTGGGGAGTGTCTCAGCATTCCTGAACCAATGAGAGGAAGCAATAACTTCCACAGTGTCTGAATTGGAGCAACATGTTTTTTTTTTTTTTCTTTTTAACTTTTCATGCCCAACGAATGACTTTAAATTCGTAGTCGCAGATAGCATACAAAATTAACCTTCCTTTTTTCCCTCATTACAGAACTTCCTACAATGTTGCTCTTTTGGAGTTATGAATTATGGACCTTTTTATACACCCACTAAAGTCAACCACAGTGCTTTTATGGACTTCAGTAGAGCCGGATCAGGGCCTATATAAAGGACAGCAAAATATATTTTATTTCTGTGTCAGATACACATTAGCTTTTCTGAAAGGAACACTGTGCCTTCATTATCAGTCAAATACCATCTACAGAGATTAATAACTTGTGTATTTTTTAAACAAACTCTTTACCTGCTTGGAGTTTGCGTCAATGGAATTTGCCACAGACTTCATCCTTTGCTGCAGACCTGTAGTCTACAATTTATATTTTTGTTTCCAGTCTTTAAAAGCAGAGCTGTCTTCCTGAGTCTATAAACAGACTAAAACATAATAGATCTAAGTGGTGTGAACTGGCCCAATTTAACAAAATAGGCTATTAACTCTGAAACATACTGATAACATGTATATGTTATCTGTTTCGTGGCTGATCATTTTAGCAGAAAAGTCCAGGTAATGTCTTTCCCCTAGAATTGCAGTCTGCCTCCAGAACCATCATGTGTGTCTGGATCTTTAGTTCTCTCTTTCCCAGCTCCCCACCACTCCAACTTCTCCCCAGTTTCTCCATATTAGTGATGCATCGTCCAAAAAAAGATCTGAGGTCTACTAAAAATGCAGAGGCCGAGAAATATAAACTGATTGTTTTAATCAAAATGAATACTACAAGTAAACAGTAGCAATTTCATTATTAATGTAGTGTAAACACTGGGGGGGGGGAGAAGAGTATAATCACTCAAAAGACACCTTCCCCCACAACAATATAGCATGCCAAAACTTAAAAACCAAAACAGGGCAACAAAAGCTAACAGGAATCATTTGACTGGCTCACAGTAATGGTCCATCTAGTCTAGTATTTTGGCTCAGCATGTGGTAAGTGCGGGACATTTCAGAAGACGATGCAAAAGTCTGTCCTAGCGGACAAGGATGGCAAACGTTGCTTATTGGGAAAGACTCCAGGAACTCAATCTGTTTAGGTTCACAAAGAGAATGTTATGGGGTGACTTGATCACAGTTTATATGTACCTCCCTGGGAAAGAGAAACATGATAATAAAGAACCGTTCAGTCTTGTGGACAAATGACTGGAAGAACACAAGGCAAATGCAAACTTGACATGAGGAGCAAATTTGTAAACAGTCAAAGGAATTAGTCATGGAAACAAAAGGGTTCTGGTGGATTTGCCATAACTGGTCATTTTTAAAATCAACATCCGATGTTTTCCCTAAAAGATCTGCTCTAATTCAAACAGAAATGATCTCCGAGCGTGTCTACACTGCACCGTTATTTCGAGATAAGTAGTGTTATTTTGAAATAACGTGAGCGTCTACACAGCCATTCTGTTATTTCAAAGTTATTTTGAAATCACGGAAGTCTTATTCTGAAATCTGTAAACCTCATTCTGTGAGGAATAACGCCTATTTCAAAGTAAGGCGTGTCTAGACGCTCCACTGCTGCTATTTCGAAATATTCCCTCAGCAGGGCCTTTCTAAGTTATTCCTCCCCAGTGCTTCCTGGAGCTCTAAATCGAGACAGAACGTCTACATTAGGGGAGCCTTCCTTGGACTGATTTTGAGGCTTCCCTGCAGTGTAGACATGCAATTTCGAAATAAGCTATTTCAGAATAACTATTCCGGAATATTTTATTTTGAAATAAGCGTGCAGTGTAGACATACCCTCAGGGAAGTCCTTTGCCCTGTGTTATACAGAAAATCAGCCTAGATGATCACAGTCTTTTCTGACCTTAGAATCTCTGAATAACCTGCCCATAAAGGAAGCAGCTTTCCAACCCTTGTCAGTCACTGACTCGTGCTCCATTAAAAATCCTTTACCCAATTTAATAGGAATGTGAGGGGGTGCTTAGCTCCCATGGGGCTGCTGAGGTGGAACCTTGGGCAGAAGGGGTGGGTCCAGACCTTGCCTCCTGCATTCCTTGGTTAGTGGCCTGCCACCCATGATTAGTGTGGTGTACTATGGAGTGCCTAGGAGACCAGCAGTGTTGTCTTCAAGTCGAGTCTCAAGTCACTACAGTTCACGTCTCAAGTCGAGTCTTGAGACTCAATTTAAAAAATGTCAAGTCACTTTTGTACAAGCCATCAATATCGGCATTTTCGGACAATTTTTTCACCATGTCGATTTAACAAAATTAGCAAGTGTCAAGTCGAGTCTCAAGTCACAATGAACCCAAGTTGAGTCTCAAGTCAAGTCACCTAAGTGAGACTTGAGTTCAAGTCGTGGAACTCGAGTCAACAACTCTGGAGACCAGGTCACGGACCAGGACTCCATGGTGCTAGTGGCTGTACAAATGTTCAGCCAACAAACCAGCCTCTGGGCCCAAAGAGCTTACTTAGGGTACATCTACACAGCAGTGTTATTTCGGAAATAACATACCTTATTCACGGAGTTATTCTGAAATAACAAAGTCCGCGTTGACACTACAAGCAGCTATTTCGCCATCATGTCAAAACAACAGCGAGCCGGAGGACTTCTAACTCCGACTCCTGTAACCCTCATTTCATGGGGAGGAAGGGAAGTCGGGGGAAGAGTGCTCCACTTTGGGCTTCCTGCTGTGCAGACAGCACCAAAAGCCGAATTAAGCTATTTCGACTTAAGCTACGCAATTGACGTAGCTCGAGTTGCGTCCCTTATGTCGGCTTCGGCCCTGCTATGTAGACGTGCCCTAAATTTTGAGCATCCCTATTCATCAAAATACTTATGCTCCTGATTCATTTGAAGTACACACTTAAACCCTTCCACAGGCTACCCAGGTGCAGCTACACTCCTTCAATGACCAGTCGCCAGTCTGGCTGGCAATTTGCACAGGTGGGGGAACTGGGCACGTGCAGTTGTGAAGATCTACACTTTCCAGATATACCCTGAGGTTTCTGGCCATGTGCATCACTGTTCAAGTGAGTCAGTGTAAATCAGTTCCGCTCCATGGAGGTGGGCAATGAACCAGTAGGTGGACGAAAGATTTTTGCTGGCGAATGTCAATCATCATCTGTTTATTGCACCATCCCCCAAAGGGTCACACATTCTGTTATTCGTTATTGACGTTTACAGACAGGGAGAATTAAAAATGATACACGGGACTATGCTCCACTCTGAACCTGCACAAATGTGAAGGAACCTCTTGGAGTTTACCAGGGCTACTGAGATTGACGTCAACGTACATTTCATACTGCAAACTAACCTCTCCAGGCAGTGATCCTCAGTCAGACAGAACAAGCCTGGATCCTCACAGCCTGGCTCTGTCCACGTCAATACAGTAACGATGCCAAATTGCACCAGCTGAGGCAGCCACCCTATAAAACACTGAAACTGATTGCTGCAGTCCCAAGCACTCACGCTGCCCACAAGGGGTACGTCTGCACAGCAGTGTTATTTCGAAATCATGTTGAGCTGGAGGACTTCTTACTCCGACTTCTGCAACCCGCATTTCACGAGGAGGAAGGGA